AAGTAAAACAAAAACTTACGCAATTGACACGAACCGGTTTTCGAAATATTATCCTTTTTCAAGTGTCGAGGAATGGTTATAGTTTATAGATCTATGTAAGTTGTGTTATAGTTTATAGATCTATATAAGTAGGGTTATAGGTTATAGATCTTGGGTTTTCACTATTGAATTATTTAAATCGCCCAAAATTAGTTTTGAAAACATATTTAAAATGTCATCATTGAGTATTTCATTGTAGGGCTGAGATTTATCGTAAGCAGGGTGATGTTACCATGGCTATAGTCAACTTTACTCAAGCCATCAAATTCAATCCCACAGATCATGAAGCATATTTTCAGAGAGCTCAGATGTATGAACAGGTATTGTATCAATTTATTTACTTATTAAAGACTGTTTATTGGTATCTGAGTTGACTAAGTCAGATATGAAACTAGATTGTTAGCATTATACACAATATATTAGGCTGCAGGTTTCCAATTTTACTAAATGCTGGTACACAATCTTGTAACTGATTACACTGAGTAGCTTTCAATACAACTCAATATCAATATTAACTGATTACCCTGATTTTCATACATCCCACTCTTAATTTCATCTGATTACTGAGTAGTTTTCAATACAACACATTATCAATTTCAACTGATTACTGAGTAGTTTTTAATACAACTCACTATTAATTTCAACTGATTACCCTGAGTGGTTTTCAATACAACTCACCATCAATATTTCAACTGATTACACTGAGTAGTGTTCAACACAACTCACTATCAATTTCAACTGATTACACTGAGTAGTTTTCAATACAACTCACTATCAATTTCAACTGATTACGCTGAGTAGTTTTTAATACAACTCACTATTAATTTCAATTGATTTCCCCAGGGCTGTTTTCAATACAACTCACTATCAATTTCTACTGAGTATCCTGAGTAGTTTTTAACACAACTCAATTAATTTTATCACTAGTGGATTTAGATTACTGAGATGTATTCTTTAATCAACTGAGTAGTTTTCTATACAACTCACTTATCAATTTCTACTGATTACCCGAAGTAGTTTTCAAAATAACTCACTATCAATTACTAATTATTGGAATATTTAATTTACGGGGTTGTATTCTTTAATCAACTGATTGCTTTGCAAAAAACCGAGGCCCTGAGGCTGTGCATATTAAAGATTCCTCGACATTTGGAAATTGAAAAAAGCATAGGCTAATTCTGCTGACCTGGCAAAATTTCAATCATTGCATTCTGCATGGCGTTATCCGCCTTCATAAACCCATAAGGTGCAGAAAATGACTCACACTTTTTTGTCTGTGCCTTAGATTTTAACCTGAATTTGTATTTATTTTAGAGAGGTGAAATGTTATTAGCTCTAGAAGACTATACCACATGTAAAAGAATAATGCCCAGTAGAACTGATGCCATAATGAAACATGGATTGTATTATTTTGAACATGAGTAAGTACATGTATATAGCTTTCATTAATTGTACTTAAAATATCATGCATT